TTGAAATTAAGAGGATTATGTTAGAAGTACGAAAAGCTCTGATTTTCGAAACTGTTCCCCTCACAGACAGCTTTTTACCCATATTCGTCTTGAACAGAGTTATTTGGTAAAATAAAATATACCAAAACATTCGTCGTAACGGCTGACGTAATACGTTGACCGGGTTTACGCTAAAATACGACGAAATACTATAGTAGGCGTCAATTACTTGTTGAATACAGTGCAAATTTTAATAAGTTACAGCATAGAGTTGGTATGGTCGAATTATATCAAGATCATATTGGTATTCTAAATACTGTGGTTGCATCAAAATAAGACAAACTTTTTGTTTTTTAACTGATTTTAGAAAAGCATAGATATATATTTCCGTCGTCTTCGAGCAAAAGATCAATCATCCTCTTTGTCATCTCAACATTATACAGAGTATTTCTCATCTAAATGTAAAAGAATGGTATGTAGAAACGGCTGTTGTTAAAACTAAAAAGAATGATTCTTCAAATTTGGAGTTTTGATTGTTTTAAGAATCTCTGTCTATGGATAAAAGTGAGAAACTTAAATGTTTTTATCACATTTTTTTTATATGCAATGAGTAAAAGATTATGCTCTTGTATCAAAACTATTTTGAAATTTTAACTAACCGACATGGTGATAGAGAAAATCCTTATTACATTCGAGACTGATATTTGTGGTTGATATTCGTTGGTCGTAACAATATGGCTGTATTTTTGCTTTCTTAATTACCGGTATTAATTAAGTTTTATCCAATTTAAAATGGAAAATACACTTAGAGGGTTTTCTTCATTCTTTAATTTTTGCGTATTTCCGCGAGAAAAACTAGAAAAACCGCTATAACTTTTGGGGAAAGCAATCAGAGTCAACCAAAATATCCAAAAGTTTTTTGCTTATCAAAGGAAAATTATTTACACACTATACTAGATATATGACGAAAATAGAAGTGTAATTTTGAAATACAAGAGTGACAACCAATATCTCGAATATTTTATTATTAAAAACGTGCTCGACCTTCTTCAGAAAATACCTAGATTTCATCATTTTTTTTAGTTATCTTCACAAGCATGTTTCCTCTAGTAAAAAGTTACTCATTTTATTGTTTTTGTCCATTTTCATAACACTTTTACATCCAGTAAATAATAAAAAAAAGCAAAACGAACAAAGATATATAAAGAGATGATAACGACGACGACGAGAACACTAATAATTATATCACACGTTTAAACAGCAAAAACAATGAATCGTTCAATATGAGTCAAAAAATATGTTCATGGTGTATCTGTATTGAACAAAATGAACTTAACAACAACAATAGTTAAATGAAAAAATAGGAAAAAAACGAAAAGCAACAATTGTAAACGAGAATATCTTGAATAACAAGTACAAAAAACGAAAAAAGCTAAAACGACAAAAAAATACAACAAAATTACTATTTGTTTTATCTTCATGCGTATGCTTTACCAACGCATTGAAACATATAAACTATCTGAATTAGCAGCAGCAGCACGTAAACGATCATCATAGCTTGAAGAAGAAGAAGATGATGATGACGGATGGTTATTTTGATCAGCTGATGGAGGATACCATGACTAAAATAATTGAAAAGAAATAGAAAATGAACATAATGAAATAATTATTCGAGTGACATTTAGAAACTTAGACATCGTACTGTTTTGACTAGAATGTAGATTCAGAGTTTAATTAAGAGCCATACCCATGAAAAAAACACGTCTAACGGTGAAACACAATACTGTTCAGTGAATCTGTTAGTTGTTTCTATGAAATAATGTTTGAAAAATATTTCTCCACTTTAATTACGAACATTTTGAAAGTTTTAGATTGCACCGTCTTGTAGTTATCAATCTGCACTAATCAGAATGGTCAAGCCAAATCAACGAAATATCGACCTGACGTAATCGACTTATTCCTCTTTTCTTCGGTTTTTTCGTTAATAGAAATTTATATCTTAAGTATTTTTTGCATGAAAATAAATATTTGCTAGCTCTCGGAACGTTGAGAAAATTCTATCTTGGAAAAAGAGTGAAAATCACAGAAAATAAGAAATTTTGTAATAGGTGACACGGATGTATATGTTGAGAACGATATCGATTATAAAGAGTACTTCCACGCAGGTCTACCCAATATTACATGATATATAAGCTGCTAAGAGCTCATATGTTGGCTTTTATAGTACTTGGTGAGAGAAGTAACGTCTCCCAACTCCATTCTCAAAAAATTATGTGGAATACAATTTTCGTTTAAAGTCAAGTTTTAAACAGACACTCCGTTCAGTCAATTTTGAGTACATTCTTCTCTTTAACCAAACATTCAGCACGAAAATTCTATACTTCACGCGAAAGAACAATTGTTCTGACTGAAGTCAAAACGTTCAGCGTTTCTTAGTGAAAAAGTTTTCTAGTGTGAAAAAATCGCAGTTTACATCTAAACTTCTTTCGTTGCTTATTACCGAAAAATGTTGCTAATTAGATAATTGCACCGCTGAGAAAATTACTGATTCATACGCTAGGAAAGTTTTCATAAATTAATTTTTCAGTATAGTAGGTTTTGCACGTTTTCGCTTGTTAACACGAGTTCAAACTATGCAGAAACCTTCTTTACTATTTACGACACCTACAAGATAGCAACATGCATGTTTGTTCTTGAACTTCAACTTCACAATAGGTATTTCTAAAAACCAAAACGTCTCACATAAAGCGGTTTTCCTCAGCTGAAAAGCCATTTGTTTTTATAAAAACTAGGATGGAACAGTACAGTTCAAAAATTTTTGTTATAAAAATATGAAGAAAATAATGAATATCAATCGGCGTATTTCTCATACAACAGCTGTCAGATGCCTCAATCTTTGAATTATTTTTTTATATGGAAAAGTACGTTAGATATTGTAGGATACCATGTTAATTGAATTTAGATTTGTGTATCAGTAAGACTTTATTTTTCGGCACTTCTCGGATCCGAAACAAGCGTCAGATTCACATTCAACAAAAATTTGTTTCAGAAATTCCGTTGTCTGCCTAACTTACTTGGGATGTTGCCCACATTGATATATCTGTATAATTGTTCATATGATGATCAGCTGTTGTTAATGTATTTGAATTTAGTGTTCTACCATCAACACCAGCACTTGCACGACTACTAAGACTACCACTGTTATGATGATTGGTTACTGATGAGTCATTACTATTGCTGTTATTATTTTGGTGATTATTATGTTGATTGTTTGTTTTCGATGTTGGTACGTTGTTTGGAACATAAATTCGATAAAAAAATGATGGTAAATTTCGAACAAATGGCCATGGAGCTGATGCCAAACATTGTCCAATTTTACGGTTTAATGTTCGAAGTTGAGATATTAAGAAAGCTATATCATAAAATTCAACTGGTAATTCACCATTTGTGCCTCGACGAGCTGAAGGAAAAACAACGGAATAAACATTACAGATTTTGCAACTAGACGTTTTAACTGATATTCTAATGAAATAAGTGAACTAGAACGAACGTTTCAAGTACAATAGAAATAAATGAATTTTTTGTGAAAAAATAATGTAAGAATAGAAGCAAGAATAAGAATAATTAAATTTGTTAAACGAAAATTATTCGGCATAGATGATTGTCTTTCAACCACCAGACAGTAGGACGGCTGATGTTATCATGTATTGTGAAAAACATGTTAAAACGTTCGTTTATTGACGGCGAGAGTAAGTGACGTCATGTTCTTGTTAACATATGAAATGAGAAGCAGCAACTGCTTAGAGCTAAGAGAAATCAAGAGAATAACGATAACGTTTATAAATATTGAAAATTCATAGCGGTATGATATTCCAGGATTATCTCAAAACTTTATTAGTGATGTAATTAACACAAGGAGACAGATTGTAAATGTTTTTCGACTTTTTGAAAAATCTGGATACTATATACTTTAAATCAAGTTTTGCATCAAAGGATTAAAGTTATTGAAAATCTTTTTTTACTAAAATGTAGTCGAAGCGTTAAGTTACCGAATAATATAGTTGTTACTTGTATACTCAAAATACAGAGCGATGAAAGTTTCTTAACTGTGTAAATATTTCTGATCAATTCAAAAAGATCATGATTTTAATGTTGCATTTCTGAACAAATAGTAAACTTTAAATTTTAATTAAACTCTGATGTTTATTTTGTTCAAATATAGTGGTGAGATTTTGTAAGATTTTGCAGGAGTCTTGACCTGCCAGGGCCCATCTCGTTTAGATGGAGTAGAATCGGATATAAACGAGACTTTTATTCAGAGTGAATTCAACAGTATAAATCTTAAAAAAACATTATATAGTTACCTTGTGTATAATCCGAAAAAGCTTGTACACAATCTAACTGACTCTTCGGCCATGTATTATTCTCACCATTCATAATACTCATATCTAAACAAAAAAGAAATTATTAAATATTTAATCTCAAGGTCAATAACCATACACAACTAGTTATTCAATACTTTTCTTGTCTAGTTATCACTTGAAGAGCAAAAAAAATCTATCATGAACTAACTGTGTGAATTTGAAATGGATCCTTAACGTCACCTGTGCCCTAATTTCTTTTATTAGAAAATTAATAGTCTTTATAAACGTGTAGGATTAAATAAACATACTTGTTCTTGTTAAACACATTAATAATAATAATGCAGTTTCTTTTTCATCTAATTGTAAATCTCTTATTTTTGTTTCAAACGGTCGAAAATAATCTTCGGCTTCATTCATCAATGGTAAATGAGAATTTAACTCATTTGCCAATGTTGTTTCAGCTCGCCAATAATTCCATGACATTAACATTTTATTTGTACGTGGTAGTAATGTAATCATTATCACAGAATGTATTGAAGAACTTAAGACTTCATATGGATCAGATAGTTCACTGAAACCTAAAACACACACACATACATACATATGGTATTCGTCAGTGTATACATTCTATTACGTTGACACCTACTAAAAGTTCATATTTATATTTTGAAAGAATTGCAAAGCATGCCCGCCTCATTCATCTGTATACACGACTTACTCAATAGAACCTTTTTATTAGGATTAAACGATGCGTGTATATAAGATTGAATTATAGGTTAGCTAAGCTGCATAAGCAAATTCTTAAAGAGCTTATTACATGACAAATACAAGAGAAAAAAGGAATACAACATTGATAAGAACATGTATAGACAAAACATAAGATCAAAGAAGTGTATTTGACTATAGCCAACAAGGTGGATAATACCGTTTGAAAGCCTAGTCTTACCATAGATTGTTTTCTGACAAAAACTCATTACAGACTGTGCATAAATGACTAATTGAGTGGCCATTGTTAACCAGACTGTTTCACGTGGTATACAGCGTGGTAATTCCTGTAAATGAATAGGGAGCATAATCGAATAAAATACAGAGCAATAGATAATTTAATCGAGGAAAGACGATTAACCGAACATCAAAATATCGGACGATTATTATTGCTCTGCATAAAGATATAAAGTATATAGCAGAAAATTTGTAGAAAACCTTGCTATTTATATTGCTCGTTCTCACCTTTAAATGTTCCACATAAGCTGAATAGACAACTCGAATATATTCTTTAATTTCGTCTGTTAATTCTGAATCAATTTCATTATTCGATGCAAATACTAAAAAAATAGTAAATTAAATATTGAATCTGAACTAACTGCATGATAAATTGAGTACTCTAGTGAAACTTCTTGTCGTCACAATCTTGGCTTCTTTAATTTTATCAGTAAGATCTTGGCAAAAAACGTGACAAAAATTCAAAAAATGTTTCGTACTCTTGCTTACATATAACTGCGAAAATTTTCATACTCAGAATAGCTTTGAAAATTTCCCTTTTTTGAACATAGCAGTTCAAGGATGAGTCCATGACCACATATAATTGTATGCCTCATGGTTGCAGTTAAAGAAGAAAATGTAAACAATTTTCATCACAATACTTTGAAACGTTCATTTGAACTGGATTTATCGAAAATTTTTGCTAAGATTTTGAGTACAAGTTTCAAGAGTACGAGATCTTGATTTCTTGGAGTTTTCCCCCGGATCTTTGGTACAAGAAATTCCACTAAAGTAGAAATATATAACTTTTAAACAGTTCGGCTTCGATGGTTGTTCTATCCATAAATCCTGCATAAAAGATCACTGATATTCGTCGAAGTTTGAGTTTGTTAATCTAAATCGTTATTGAAATATAGCCGAAATCGATTTTATAGAGGAATGCGCTACGTGTCAAGGATGTGACGACTGTCTATTCACTGTTTTCTCAAAGAAATCGATAACCTGTTAAGATGAAATCCATCTACTTTTTGAATATAAAATTGTTTGGAAATGAACGGAGAAATCGTTAATAAATCAGCACCGTGTCTTGAGTCAATTATTGAATTTTTAACGTGTGGGAGTATCAATATGTCAAAGGAAAATTTAGAGGATGAGTTGGTATCCTTTCGTTTCGTCCTGTCTCATTTGTTTCGCCCCCTCTCGTTGCGTCCCGTTTATTTTCCATGATTCTACTCATTTTATAAAGTTCAGCAAGTTCAGTTCCAGACAAAGTACCATTTTCATATCTTTTAAAAATATTCCTTCAATTTAAATATTAAAATTCAATATACGTTATACAGAATCTTTCACACAAACAGTCAAACAGAAGAAAGTCTACAACAAGTGGGATAAAAGATTGAAGGAATATTTTTAAAAGATATGAAAATGGTACTTTGTCTGGAACTGAACTTGCAATTAAATGTGACAAATGTGTTAATACTGTAAAATTACCTGTTGTATTGTAACTCGTAAATAAAATAATAAATGTAACTTATAAAGTGATGTATCAATTTCTTACATTAACTTAATTAATTATTGATTAGTATACAGTTGACAGAAAAAAATGAATAGTTATAAAATGAGAAGAATCATGGAAAATAAACGGGACGGAACGATATGGGACGAAAATAGAGTAATCCGATGAGTTAATTTCAAAGACGTAAATATGTCTGCAACTATCGAGGTTAGCAAAGCCAAATTTAGATTATAATCTGCTTCTGACACATACAATGCGTCTAGGAAATATCAGCTCTCAAAATCGAACTGTTTAAAAGTAAATTTTCTCTATTGGATTCATAATGAATAAGATATAAATATACATACTTCTTCCATTTCTTGCCTTTGTTTTACGTTTTTTTGCTAAAGTTGCTATTTTTGCACTGTCATTAATCGATGCCATACTCTGATTACCTTTTTGTAATAGTAAGATATTTTGTTTAAATAAATTTGATTGACGACCAATTCGACTAGCTAGAAAAACATATGAAACTGTAAACTAGTGAAGAAACTAAATAATTTTTTAAATAATTTAAAAATCTTACCGTCCATTGACATTCCAGCATTAATACATTTTCTAAATCGACATGCCCGACATGTTATTTTTGATGTGGAATTTATTTCACAATTATTATTTTCAGCACATCGATAACGATCGGGCGCATTTTCTTTAATCGATCGACGAAAAAATCCTTTACATGCTTCGCATGTCACCGCTCCAAAATGAATTCCGGATGCCGGTGCTCCACAAACAAGACATGGTAATTTTTTATATAAATCTTCTGTTTTTGGACTGATATGTTCATCTAGAATTAAATAAAACAGCGATATTAGACACTCTCTCTCTTGTCAAAAGACTCATTTTATGTAATTATATAAATAAAAAAATTTCAAATCTAGGATATTTCTCTTTTATTGTTTATAGTCGTCATTAATTTGATTTAACACAATTAACTCACCATGTGGTTTCATTCCAGCTTTCAAACATTTTTGAAATCGACAAAATTGACATTGTGTTCTTGAACGTTTATTTATTAGACAACATTGATCACGTTGACATTTATATTTTTTTCGACCATCGCCCGTTGTTATTGAACGAAGAAAAAATTTCTAAAAAATAAACGTATGTTAAAAGAATATGGTAAACATTAATCATAGACGATATTTACTTTGCATGCTTCACATGTAATTGCTCCACAATGCCATCCACTAGCCGTATCACAACATATTTGACATTGTTCTTCTTCACTTTGTTTCGATCTCATTTCAGATAAACATGTTGACATTTCAAATTGATCTGTGAACATAAAATAAAAAATAAAGATGAAATTTAGTCTCTAAACTTCACTATTATATTGATCGTCTGAAAAATAAATAAGAATTGATCGTTTAACTCTAGTTTCGAATAATTATAATAAAAAATATTATTGATTATGAATAAAAAAATATATTACTTACTTCGATTTTTAGTTTTAATAAATTTTACAACTAGAGTTTATATATAAAAAACTTCATTATTATTAATGGTTTTTAAAACTAATCGTTGATACATAAGCACATTATTTAATACAATTAGACTGCACTGTTCTTTCTACAAGATTGAGTTTATTATAATGGATACAATAACGTTTCGTTAAGAGAGAATAAAAGTAGATAGATATAGCCGTAAGAAAGAGAAGAAGAGAAGAGAAAAAAGAATCGTATCATCAGCGTGTATATTTTTGTGTTAAATGTGTTTATGCAAAGATATATATAAGTCTATATATATATATGTATGTATAGTTATAATCTATAAAATGACAAGACTTTTTAGCTATGGCAATTGTCATTCTAATTGATAAAGACATTAACCTTAAGTTTAACAAAAAAAAAAAGGAGAGAGAGAGAGTAAGAGAACGATATGATTATATTTTAGATAGGGCAGAGATCATTAAAAGTAATTTAGACAGTTATGATAAATCCACTAGTCCGAAGCGAAAACGGTTACTTCAGGATATCAATTGATTTTCTTACTCATAGCATACCAATTAATTAACAGCAGACAGATAAATCAATTCTTCTTCTTGTTTCTTATGAAATATATTTCAACTTATCTACACTGGATATGTATGTTTCAAAAAAATCTTAAATATAACTTCAATTGAGAGAAAACAAAGACAATAAGTTGATCTTAATCTCAGAAAGTGTCTTCGATGACTAAAGTTTCAATTTAATTTTAGCTTAGATTTTTTGTGAAATATTCTCCTGATGAAAGAAAACATTACAGAAATAGTGCGCTTATTCTCCGTCATCATGACCTTAACAAATTTGACGTTCACTTGACATTTGTAGTTTAATTGTTAAAGTTTTCGTTATTCGAATCTTAGTCACCATTTAGAAGATATCAGACAATCTAAATTGAGAGATCTTGTCATTTTTAAGTATGAATAAAACATCTGAAAATTATTATTTGCTTTATGATGAGCAGCAGATGGATAAATCTTGTTAGAAAAAATATTTACGATTTGAGATCAAATATTTCCTGAGTCTACAAGAGCCGTTAATATGAACAGTTCATAGATATTTTGACTTATTTTTTATTTCTAAAGATGAAAGTAACGACTAATGTGTATGATAAATTTTTATATTTCTCACTGTTTGTCTTTTTAGTTTATTTTTAAATTTCTTCTTATACGGCTATCAATCACTACAGAAAAGTGCAAATAATACTTCTCTCTCTCTCTCTCTCTCTCTCATTCTCACTCTCACTCTCACTCTCACTCTCTACATTTTATGAACAATATTGGCGTTATGGTAAAATTTTTGAAGAGAGATCATTTATCATTCTTTCAGGATAAACATTTTCCACTTGTTATAAATGTGCTGTTGATTCACATGACAGTTACCATTAGAAAGCAAAATTTCGATTTTTTTTTTAACACTACTTTGCTTGTTTTCTCAACTATCTGCGATGTCTGAGTGTGTATATTAGTAGAATTTTCAGTGATGAGAGAGATACACATAAACACACACGCACACACACACACACATACACGTAGTTTAGAGTTCACACAGTTTTCCTGAAAAGCTTCTCTTTTCATTCTTTGAACTCACAAAAAATAAAATAATAAGTAATAAATAGAAAAGGCGTATTTAAAAGCAAAAAACACTATCTCAGACTATGTAGACTATTGACAGACTTTTTTTTTGTCCTACCTTTATCCTCAGGCAGATTTTTTTGTTTTGTTTATTAGATCGCAATTGTTTATGTTCTAATAAATCATTTTTTAATACTGAACTGAACTCAATTCTTTCGTAACTGACAATCTATTTCCTCTTTTATTTTGTGTACTGATTATGATGTATTTTGTTTATTGAACGTCAAAGAATCGGTGAGTTTGTGCTATTAAAACACTACGCAAGAAAGATAAATAATGTTAAAAGAAATCGAACGCGTTTTTCTTTGTATATTATCTCAAATATTAATATTATTTCGATGTCAACTCAACAACAGTTCAAATAAACCAAAAGTCAACTATATTTTGTATAATTAGCAATTGAAATAAATAAAAAACTACTAGCAAATATGTCATTTTTTTAGTTCAATAATTGAGATATTAAAAATTAGATTGATAGATTTTTAGCAAGATTAATGAATGAAGAAAATGGATATTTTTATATCAGAAAATGTTCAAAAGTAGTTTGCAATTATACCAGAAGAAATTACTCTAGATATCTCTGAATAGCTAGTGCAACTCGCAAGATGGCAACGTTTCTATATAAAAGACAGTTTGCTTTGTAGTATTAATTGATCTTATCAAATTTTATAATAAAAAAAACAACAACTGTTATAGTTACCATGTTATTGGGATGCATCACAGAATTTATCTGTCGTAAGACGTCTTCATTATACTACTTTCTTTTTCTCCCTTCTGCTTTTTTGCTATATAAATCAGTTAACAGAACAGAAGTTAAGAAGAAAATTCATTAACTTTTATTTTCAATTGCTATAAGATACAATTTTAACACATTTTCTTATTTCTCTCTATTCTATTTGCGTATAATGTTATGTTTTTATATTACGTGTTCATCGTTATTTCTTTTTCTTCTTTCTCACAGACATATACTATGGACAGGTGGTGTTCAATAATAATTAATTGGGGCGACCATATTAATAACACATTCAAAGTAAAATAGAAAATAAAACTTATATGTTTTACGATCTATGTACGTGTGTTTTACACAAATTCTATTAGTTGTAGGCTAAATAGAAAAATAGAAGTAACGTGATTGAAACAAAGACGATTTTTTTTTTTTTGTTCAGAAAGATAAATATTATTGGAAAATGATCTAAAAAAAACATTTACGGAAAAAATTACTGCCGATGAAAAAAAACTTCCGATAAAACAGTGTCTTTTAAAGGAATCCAAGAATCCATGTGGACAAATACAAAAGTCTATACTGAGATTTGAATTACAGACAACAAAATCATTGGCAATTCTATGAAAAATGATCTGATCTAGCACAATTATATTTTTCTGGTAAGTTCTTTTAAAAAAAAAGGTTGAAATTATATGATAAAAAATAAAGTATAAAGTAAAAAGAAAATGTTGAAATTATAGTACAGACCGCAATCGTTAAATAATACTAAATTCGTTGTTCTTATTCTCGCGATCTTTCTTGAACTAAGACAATTTTCATTCATTCGTGATATTTAGAATTTATTGGTTTATCGAAATCATTACGTTAGTTCGATGAAAACATGTTTACTTTCATTGACTGAAAATTATTTCGTACTATTTCCGATCTCGAAATATTCTAGAATATATTTATTTTCCGATCTCGAAAACCAGTCATAAAATATAGCTCTTTAGCAAAGTGCAAATTTATTTTCACCGATATTTGATTGAATATTTCTCGCTGCTGACAAGCAGTGAGTCTTAGAAAGATAAAGAGCAAATAATATCAGTAAATTTCTTTGTAAAATGTTTAAAAATATACAAGAACATATGTATTACAATCAAGTATAGATTCTAACCCTAATAGATCTCTCGTGAACGTGGCTTCGGCATAGAAAACATTTAATAAATGAAGCGGTTGAGTCGTACGCAAACAAATCACTATTTGCTAAACAAATGTGCTGATATGGAAAAGAGCAAAAATAAAATGTACATATTTAATCTCATAATAATAGGCTATTACAGTACATAATGTACCAGAGATCCGCATAGACTCGGGTCGAAAATTTGTCTTGAATAACATAACAGAAGTAGCAAGTCTAATCTGGTTGGTAGCACTTTATAAAGCATCTTACGTCTAGCAAGCGATCAAGTTTTCTGAGTACATTTCGAAGAGTGATCGGGCCGAGTAAAGTTTGGTTGGAAACCTTTACTCATTGGACCGAACAGAAATTTTTCGGATCATGCGTATCCCTGATTTATACTTAATTTAAAAGAAGAAGAAAACTTTATGTTTTTCTACACATACATCAGTCTCTCAGACTTTAATTTTCTGTGCACTTACCAAAATCGTCTGTTGATATCATTGGTTTTATATCAAGCATATCATCCTCATCATCAAAATACGACGTCATTTTTGAAAAATTAACTGCTAGACGTTTACGAGCGTGAGTGTATATGTATGTGTGTAATAAAAATCTGAAGTTGTTTTGATGTAAATGACAAAATGTTTAATGAACCTTCTTCTCTGTATGTGTATGTGTGTTACTGGCGTATTAAATACTTTTTCCCAAAAAAAGAAAATGAAGAAGGAAAAAAGTTATCTTCAATCTTGGTTCAAAGGAGAAAAAAACCAGATTTAAATGCTGACTTTAAAATAAAAAAAGAAGAAACTGAAATTAAAACTGGTACAAAATAAATGTTCAATAAATAACATAATAAAAGACAATGGATCTTTATTTGACATTACATTTTCAAGGATACTGGTACATGTTGGTCTCTTTGCTGAAGGTTGTGTGTGCGTACGTGCTCATTGTGTATGACAAAAAAACTTATAGAAACAAGTATCAACGAGAAAAAAAAGGTAAACTATCGTTTTTTTATAGTTTTGCTTTGATCTCTATAAACTGTTAAAATATATACGCTAATAGTTAATTAACTATAGCGAAACAATTCTTCCTATGTGTTCAAACTATGTGTTCAGTCGATCCACAAGCTTCATACACTGCTTAATATTTGGATAAAGTCAATCCTCCTCGAGTGAACGTTACACTTTGTAAAACACATTAAGTTACATATATTCTGAAATTAATAAGTTTCTGAAATGCGTTCGACGAAGTCTAATTACACATGTATGTCATTTTTTAAGTTCAAAACTGTTCGCAGAAAATTAGAAACTTAGTCAAAAATCAAATTTTACATGCATTTTCTTTATAAACTAACCAGATAATGCTAAAATGAAGAGAAATAAGCATTATAAATGAGCATGTAATGGATTGTCGGTCACACTGAGTCTCGTAGAAAGATTTGATTCCAGAAGAAAACTGAACACCCGGAAATACTGAATTTCTCCTGAAAACCTGAAATAAATCATCATAGCCTATTTTTATCAAAAAACTTAAGAAAGCTCATAACTCGCTAAACATCCACCCAAATTACTTTTAATATTTCAAGGTTTACTTTATTTTACCCCTTCATCCTGATTCTGTGCTTTAAATTATTAAAAAATACTCTCTGGCTTCCAAAGATTTTCTGAAAACCTTCTAAAAGAAATTAGAGTACTGTGAATGTAATACAATATATCTTGAAATTTCGCGAACTGATTTTGATCGAGTTGTGAACTACTTGACTTTGAATGAAAATAGACAAAAACGGATCACCTGTTTTCTCTTAAAAAAGCAATAGGACGTGTCAGGTAACTTTCTCTAGCGCCTTAACTATTACGAACAAAGGTCACGTTTGAGTACATCGTTTTGTATAAGATAGTTTAATTTAGCAACCCATGAAGTTGGTTTTCCAAAAATCCTTCGGTTTTTTTGGTTTTCTCCTTTGAAAAGAAGTTTTCACTCACTTTTTCAAACAAAAGATGCGTTGCAGTGAGAAACTTAATTGACTGGTCTTTCTATCCAATTTTTGTCGTGTTTTACCTTTATGACTTTATGGCACACGACAAACAGCAAAAAAGCATAACAAAAATTATCTCTTTGAATTAAACATAATCCGTCAGCTGAAAAGCATCTTCCGCCGTGTCAGAGATGTAACCAGCGACCGGCCGGTTTAAACCGGTCTACGCCGATCCGGCTCGGTCAGGTCGAGGGAAAAGACGTAAATCGGTCGGTTGACTGAGACTTCTGTATTCTGCAAACGTTCCACTTAAGGAACCACTGCCTGTTTTTCTCTAAAGTGCATTGCTTCAAACATTAACTGCAACTCTCTCGCTCTAGCTCAACTTGGCATCCTAGTAAAAAATTTTCAAAGATGTATCATCTTCTTTTTGTCTCAAACGTACCGTAGTATAGACGGCGCTAATACGACACTGTCGATTTACGTTTCAGTTACCTCTTTGTAATATCTCATTAAATAACAGATCTTCGCACTAGCTGTGCTGTTGTAATTGGAATTTGTCAGATAGATAAAAAATCTCTACGAAGTAGGCTAATTTTTAACTAGAAGTACAAAATTTACAATTGAAACAAAGCTGTTTTACATTCATTATGAATTGAGTATAAACACAACTTTTAAACAGTTCGGCTTCGATAGTTGTTCTATCCATAAATCCTGCATAAAAGACCACTGTTATTATTCGAAGTTTGAGTTTGTTAATCTAAATCATAACTGAAATATAGCCGAAATCGATTTCATAGAGGGATGGGCTGCGTGTCAAAGATGTGATGACTGTTCACTGTTTTCTTAAAAAAATCATTAACCTGTTGACTATAGAACTGTTTCTCTGTACATCGTTGACTAATGCTCTCTTGATAAGAGAACTGATCTTCTTTTGCTCTTTGACTACTGAAAACTTCGAATCTTTTAATTCAAAATAAAATAACACAAAGTTAGAGAACATTTTCTGTCTAATTTTTGAAGACAACAGTTTTTTGAAATGAACTGAGAAATCGTCAATAAATCAGCACCGTGTGTTGAGTCACTCAATTATTGAGTTTTCAGTTCGCGAGAGTGTCAGTGTATCAAAGGAAAAATTAGTGGATGAGTTAATTTCAAAGACGTAAATATGTTTGCAACTATCGAAGTCAGAGGTTTTCTGGAGACCGCTTGTACAAAAACTTACTATTTTATTTCGAACTGACGCACTGATGCTATGAAAGTGATTTTTGTACAAAACGAATACCTAATGATGCTGAGTATAATGCATGGGTGAACAAGCTTAGAGAGTCCTCAGA